TGTGTGTGTGTGTGTGTGTGTGTGTGTGTATACATATACATATATATCTATGTAAATATATGTACGTCTGTAAGACGACCCTGATATGTCCAATTACTGACTGAGCTAAGTCCATGGCAGATTCAGCATAAATTTGACAAACATTAGGCTAACCACACAAGGAGTTGGGCCCCTGCATCGAGCATTGATCACAATGGATACAAAATTACAAGCAGAAAGTTGTTTATTTCTATTCATGAAACACGCAGAAGTCCACAGAATCATTACCCTGTCCAGTGAGTCTCTCCTCCTCCTTGCAGTTTCTGGTTCGTAATTCTTTATGGCATTCACATTTCTCCTGGGCTGATCTTTAGAAGCAGTAGAACCCAAAGAAAATGATAGTTTCTCATTCGGCGTACCACCAACTTTTGTAGCACCTGGGGAAGGGGAGCTGAAAGAGGCATCATATGGAATCCCTATTGTTTCAAACAACTCTTTTTTTACGTTCTGTTTTTTTACGGAAGGTGACTCTATCTTCAGTGCTGCCATTTGTTTCGAGAGGCACTCAGAAAGATGGTCAGCAGCAGCTAATTGAGACGTCATTGTGCTATATAAACTATGCAAGGATTGAATGTGTCTGCAGAGAGATACCTCAGTAAAGTTATAATTACGGAATAGGAAATTTTTAGAAAGCTAAAACAAAACCACCTTATCTCTATACTCAGGCTATTAATATCTCAATTGCGAGTTGGGAACAGGTCTGGGTGCTCTATCCCAGTGAGAAATAATTATATAAGCATACAATGTACAAACATATCGTAAATAAAAGTCATTAATGCTGAATTGGCATGGAGATGTTGCATTAGATTAGGTGTGAAAACAAGCTCAGCCGCTTGCTTAAAGCTCAGAGCTTGCAGGGTTGATTGCTTATGTAAAGATATCTATATTTTTCAGTCACAATAATACATCCTTGAATATACGTTTTAAAGTGTAGCTTTCATAATTTCCGGCTTGGGCAGAGGTCAAGTTTGGGTAGTTCAAAGTAAAGGAGCTGAGCTTTCAAGGTTAAGCTATGCTAGAGTTTTGGCAAGATTTCAATTATAAACCAAGCAAGCCAAGCCTGCACACTCCAAAGTGCCCTCAATTTAGCCTGTTTGTACCCTTAGCATTGGTGGTACTTAAAAGCTACAAATGCGATAGACAACAGCTATTATTTGTATGGTCATGATAGGAAGTTAGAAACTGCGGCATCAAAACTACACTCGGCGTGTCTAGTGAAGGTAAGTAGAACAGTGGTGATGAGGTCATTTCTTCGCAAAGAAGGAACATTGATGTCAATCTTATTAGATCCTCTATGCTGTGGAAGGATTAGCGGCTTACAGAGCTGGCTGTATGTTTGGGAAGCAGTGTTGGATAGAATTCTTCAGGCACGGAAACATAAACATATATTACAGGTGGGTGCCTCGAATCTGACAATGGAGAGTCTCTACTTCACTGTTCAGTGGCAGGGAACTGTGCAAGCGCGAGTGGTTCTTTGTTTACTCTCTGACAGGACTGAATCAGTACACATTGGAATAGCCCATTGTGGATTCTGATGCCTTTGTGAGTCATGTGGTGTTTATGGAGGAAGAAAATGCTATTGGAGATGCGGAAAATTCCATGACTAAGCTGAAGTCTACCTTTAAACCTTCATGAGTTCTACAAACAGGTGAAAGTATAAGTTATTCAATTAAGGTCCTTCTAGTTTTCTTAGATTTTAGGTTTTTCTTTTGAGGTGTTCAGCTTGTAGCCTTCCTGTGAATTCAGATTGTGCCTTTAATTTAGTCAGTTCATCTTACTTACATTAAAAAGAAGGCATTAGAAAATAGCAGAACTCTTTCAATCTCTTATGTTTACATATGCCAACAAAGTAAATTCAATCTACCTTGAAGGCCCAAATCGACTCTGCAAAGCTCTTCGACCAGCATGAGCTCCAGCATTTTCACCAAATTTATTAAGTTCAAGGCCATTAAAATGCCTTTCCAATTGAATTAATTGGTCAGTCAAATCCTGAAAGAGAAAGTAACAAGTAAGAGTGATTAAACATTAGGCTGCAAAAATCAAATGATGAATTACCTGGTTCATTTTTAAAATATGTCGCCGCTTCAGCTCAAGTTCTGAACTCAACTTCTGACAATTCCAGAAGTCCCAATATCGGCTATCAGAAGCTTGCTTCACAATTCCCTCCATGTATATTTTCCTTGCCAATACTGACCAATAGAACAATCAATTGCTCAATTCAAGAACTATCTATATCTTCCTACATGTATAAATTGGAAGCATTTGACTCATGACATGAAAAATCAGCATATTAAAAATACCTTGTACAGTTATGTCAAGAAGATGTTCAATTTCTTTAAGTCGTTCATCCATAATGCTCTGCAAAGTACAAATAGAACTGAGTTTCAAACAATAATAACATGACGTATGAAACTCGAGAATGGAAAAGTCAAGTGGTACTGCCAAATGACAAGCATCCAATTTTAGAACTCTGGTTGCAATGCAGGATTTTATTTTACTACCAAATGCTGCAAAATTTTGGCAATGAACAGTAAATCATAAGCGTATTTTTAATTCACTAAAGTTTAGGCCTGGACATACAGGGTAGAAGAAATATGGACGAAAAAACTTCAAACAACAGACAAGGTTTATTTGTTCTGGATGATGATTTGCAAAGATCTACATTATTTAAAGCCAGGAACAACCTAGACTGAAATAGATGTTATAGAAGTGCTCTCTTTTTTAGGGAAAAAATCAGAATAAAGAATTGAGAGATTTTTAATTAGTATAGAAGAAGTCAGCAATGCTAATTTATCATAATTTGCACAAGATGGACAGCTTTTTGTGTCACAAATACAGAATATATAATAAGCACTTAGAGATCCTTTAATTGGTGAAGGATTGGCACGATTGCACAGTTGGCACTGCTTCATCATCTTTCTGATGTGACCCTAAGCCCTCTAATATGTCTAAGTGTTGTTTGCAGGGCCCGAAAATTGAAAAATCAGAGACTAGTCTCTCATCCATTGACAGTCTACGTTTTCCCTTTTAATTTTTTGTCCCCGAGGTTTTGAGTTTGGATTCTTATCTTCGGCTTCATGAGCTTTAGTCTCTTGATATAAAGGAGTTCTTCAAAGATCGAACATAATCTAGGATCGTTCTCCATTTGCTATGGTTTGGAATTGGTCAAGCAGATTCAAGCTTATAATGGAATTGTATCAGAGGCTTTACTTGTTGATAACAGAGTTAAGTTTTGGTTAAAATGGGCATGGTGAGTTACTACACAAAGTGCATGTAGAAGAGCCTGTATGATAACTGGAAGGGCAGTTTTTTTAGTTCACTGTCACTTATAGAAGAAGCTTACAGAAGCATCACTTCAGTGATGGTTATTTTCTGGATTATTTGAAAGGAGATGAACCGAAGATTTTTTGAGGGTGTGTTTTTGGCCACTTACGGGAAAGGATTTGCTTTTCGGCATCATTATAGCCCTCAGTTTCTTCAGAATTTAGGGATAGTTCTTTTCATGCAATATTATGCAGCTGTGATTTAGTTTTATACACGTGTAATTGCTGTATCCCTTGTTGTATCCAATTGGAATAATGCTGTTTCTGATGATGCACCTGGTTTTAAGCCCAGAGGATATCTTGTCCACTGTGCTGTACACTTTTTTTCTTTTTTCTTTTTTCATTCAATGACATTTTGTTTCCTATCAAAGAAAAAGAAAAAAAGAAGACACAGAAACAGGCAGAGTTCTAGGACTTCAATTTGTTTGGGCCAGTATGCTTTGAATCTCATTGTTGCATTTGGATATCATTTCAATTTATTGTCTCTAATGAGGGGGAGCTTAATTTGTGGTCTAGCATCCCTTGAATTCACTTCACCCTGCAGCATTTAACTAGAAGGATTTTCATTGCCAAAATTGCAGCTATGGCTTCTTTCTTAGACGAACTATAAATTAAATGGAGGCAAATGTTCTACTTGGTCATTCCCACCTCTATTTTAAGCTTTCCTAGCTGATTTCTCTTATGGTCTCCTACCACAGAAAGACAAGACTGTAGACTTGGCTTATATAGAGGTGGGAATGCTACACAATTAAATGCTACAGTCAGCACAGCCTCTCAAAATACTTTCTGAATACGAAATAACAAAGAAAACTTATGAAAGTGATTTGACAAAAAAACTCCAAAAATTAAGTACAAAACATCACCTTCCACTTTCTGCATCTGTCAGATAGAGTCCCTATGCCTCTCTCCAATTCTTCAACGGACCTTTTCTGATTAACAGTGCAGGCATCCTTGAAACCACCTGGTTCTTCTATAGATTGTAGAAGCATATCCAACTCCTTGGTCATCTCTTTGATCTGGATGAAAAAAGAGAAAGCCTAAGAGCTCTGAAAATGATCAAATTCAGCCTCCAGAACATTCCACAAGCAGCCAATAGAGAAGTAAAACAAACGACTGTGCGTATGTGTGTATAAATATAAAGTCTAATAACCAAAACAAAGATGCAGAAACCTACGCAGATTACATTTATACAGGAAATGCATAAGTTAATAGAAAAAAGAACAATGATACAAAAGGAGAAGAATTTACAAACACATAACAAGCAGAGAAACAATTAATAGAAAACACCTGCCAAATGATGATGAATACCAGTGAAGGGGCATTCTTAGCTTAGACAAGGACGCCCAAAAGAACACAAGAAATCTAATCCTGTACCAAGAAAAAGGGAAACTCCCTATCATAAAAAATTCTATTTTCCTAACTGACTGCTCATTATATGCAACACAAACCAAAGAAAAGGGAGCATTACAAACAATAAGGTAAAAAGTCTGAATGGTGCAAGCAGTTGAATTTGATATTAAAATATGTTAGCACATAAGCAATAACAATGGATAAGACCACCTAGAGTTTAGCATAAATTTTCTATAGTAAAGTGTGCATAACAGAAAAATTTCTGTTCCAACATCGCTTTGTTTATTCTCCACCTTTAGATAATTTGTTAAGTTTCAGAGACGTTAACGAATTGAAAAAAATAAGAGAGCTGGGATGTGTTTGAAAAAGAGGGCCATAGACAAGTACATTACATTTCCAAATTGTTTTGATAAATTTGGTTCAGAGTTCAGCCTCCTCGACGGGGGTAGATCACTATAACTTTCCTTGGATGGATAAATGTTGTAGGTGGGAGACTTTCCGACGGAAAAACTTTCCTGTGATGACATTAGGGAGCTAGAAATGGAAGGCAGTGATACTATATTTCCAGCCGCAGCTGATGGCCTTTGTCCCCCATTCTCCGTCAGCCTATCAGAAAAGTTGACTGAAGTTGATGAAGCAGAAATATCCTTGAAATGAAGCGGTTTTCCAGAAGGTTTCCCATAAGCATCTGTAGGAGCAACAATTTGATTAGCATTTCCAGATCTGCTGCCTTCAATAATATTTGAAGGCATAAGTAGAGATTTCACACCAGTGTCCTTTGATGATATGATCTTTCCACTTGACCAGGACTGAGATGAAACACCCTCTAAACCCATTGACTCCATTTTTCCTGGAGATCCTGCCGCTGTCTCAAAACTTTTATGAGTATCCTTTAAAGTGGATTTTACAGCAGTTCCAAATCCAGCAATTTTTTGAGTTTCTGTCTTGATTAAGTCCCTGAACGCATGATCAGGCACCCCTTGGAGAGAAGCATTAGTAGATGCTGGCCCCATATTTCTGTTTTCCAGTCCCGGAAACTGTAATTGGTTCCCATTTTTGTCCGGGGAGCGTTTTGGGACAATGACTTCTTGCTGCCCATCAGCTTCAAACGATTGAGAATTTGTCAGTGGCTCCGCTTTCTTGTTACTGTTGGTACTTTCTTTATTAATTGTTTGATTAGTAACAAACTCAGACGTCAAAGTCTCATTTACATCAAGAGACTTTATGTCATCTTTTATACGAAAATCAAGGCCTACATTTCTGTCAAGTTCTTTTCTTTTCTCAATACCCAATGAAGCATCCATAGAAACCTTTTCAAGTTGTTCCTTCCCCAGCCAGGAAGAACGTTTAGATGACTTACTTTCTACCAGTACCAAAGCAGTGGAATCCTCTTCCTCCTCTTCCTCGTCAGAAAGAGCAGAAACAATAGCAGGTGAAACTGTAATTCCACTGACACTGCAGAAAAATTCAAATCTATTGTTAATATAAATAGCTATATAGTAGGTTCTAGAAACTGGAATCCTTAGGCTGTGCAGCACCACTAAAGGCCAACTTAAAGAGCTAGTGAGCAAATAAAGAACCATGTGACACTAGTACATGATTGTAGAATTAGGAAAACAGGAAACTACCTGGCAACATGGAACATTATTAGTTTTCCCTCAAGCGTGAGACACATAAGAATGCAATATGGCGAGAGTTCTCTCTGTTCCTCTCCAAGTCGGACACTAATTTTCTCACTTTTTGAAATTTTATCTACGCAGAGCCCCAGTATCAAATTATCATCATCATTTTCTGAAACAAGGGGCACAAGCAAGCACAAATTAACTTAACCATAACCAAAAACTAAAACATGTGAAATAAAGTAAATGAATGAACTGGTGATGCATATGACACCATTATAGGGTCAAAAATGGAGTGACATGACCCATATTTATTTATTATCAGATCTAGATGAAAACTAATTATGATGTCACAAGGGTAATCACTAACATTTCTTCACAATCCATGCAAATTTCAGCTATTTAAACATTACTGTTAGCCTAAACATGAAGTAAATTACAATTTTGAGAACCTTGAAGCTCAATCCTTGGTAGCAAACTATCTCGGAAAATATCAACAACTACAACTTCATTCTTCTCATTTCCAAGCGACCAGCTAAGATACACAATATGTTGATCCACGTTCTTCCTGTTAGCAGTAATTGCAAGTTCACTGTAATAATTACCAAACAAATAAGTTAGCTATCAGCATTCTATGAAATATAAATTTTGTACATATAAGAAAGATGGAAAAGACAACGCATAAGAAGTTAAAGAACCACATTCATTAGAACATGTGCAACATGAATATGAAATGCAAAGAAAAAGGGTGATATTAGCAAATTATTAACAGACCCATTAGCTTCAAAGAACTACTCAAAAAAATTAAACACACACACAAAACGGGGGATATCAAATAAAAATGCCTACCATTGCTCCAAATAGCTCAATAACAAATATGGGCCACTAGCAGAAGGCAGAATGTCGTCAATGAGTCCCGAAAACAAATCATAGAAAGGTATCAGAACTGGCTTGCAAGAACCCTACAAGATAGGTCTCACAACGTTAGGACATACTTTTTTATATAGAAGAAATTACAATATACTTTAAGGAAATTAATGTGAAGATCAAATTGCTTCTTATTTATTATGCATTCACATACTCCTCTCATAATTTAAGTTACTTATATGTGAATCTAACCTTCTGATTCTAATACACCCACATTTCAAGAGCACTATTAAAAAGAATAGCCACTTATTATATTTAACACTCAAGATTCAGATCATAATCTATCAATTCCTACCGCTCATCCATGGATATACGCAACCTTCTGTAGGTCATTACACAAAAAAGTCGTATGACATTTGAAAATTATTAATAATTCTGCAGACCAAATTCAACTTGAAATCCAAACTTCAATAAGCGCATTTTCACTTTGTAAGAGTGAACCAGTAAAAGGGCCACCCAGCCTCTCTATTAGACATAATTACGTTATCATACAGTGATACAAACATACAGAGGTAACACATCTCATTTAGATGTGATGGCACTACTTAGAGTCAACAAAAAGGGAGGGGCGATATCCACTAAAAGTAATAAATAGGAATAGATTGAAAATCCTTTGAGTTAAAAGACAAAAATTTAAAAAAAAATATTACTTACATCAGCAAACTTGCCATCTTTTATTTTTATCACTTGGACAAGGTAACTTTCTTCATTTCCATCTGCAGTAAGTTGAAAGCATCCTAGAATGATGCTATCATGACGAACCCACCTGATAGAGTCCACTGATGATTCAGGAAACACTTTAGTTTCAGAGGTTGATAATGGTTAATCTTTTTTGTATAATAATGGCCTTGCTTCAATAAAAGAGACATCAAAATCATGTCCATGTATAAAACATTACAAAGAACTAGGACAATGCAAGTGATAAAATCACCATATAATTTTGTCAATAGAAAGATGAACCCATGCAGTATTAAAATAGTTTGTATATCAGTGAAGATTTATGCTGGGGGCCAATACTTGTTGAAAAATATATATTAAAAACTTAATTCCTAATACAGATCGGAACATATATAAAAAAGAAAACACGTACAGAAGGAAAAACAAAATATGGAAATGTAACCATACAACATAACATACCTTTTATACTGCAGTTCGCATTGGAATCATCAGTCCAAGACTTGAACGAAATTAACATTGACGACCTCTCCTTGAAGTTAGATGATAGAATGCTAAGAATATCCCTTCTTGCCACAGCAATTAGTTTTCCTTTTAAACTCCATCCAACTACGATAAAACACAAGTCAAAATAAGCATTAGTTGCACATATGTAAAAGAACATAATTGATAATTTCTTACTCTTTCGAATTCCATTTTAATACTGAATTCATAATTCTATGTAACTGAAATAAAGAGCAGTAGTACATGGCTTATCCTTCAAGTATATGCAGTCATGCTGAATTCAAATAACTAAAATGAGCAATTTTCAACATGCAACAAATTCACCTCTCTTATGTAAAAATATAAGATCCACCTACTTGATGCACCCATGGTTACAATTTTGCTCTACCACTTGGAAAGTGCAAGCTTCAAGTTCAAATGAAGAGATTGGACAATTCATTTCAACCAAATTTGATACTAAAGACAATTCTTTAAGAATGATTTCCTGATGGAGCGTGGACGCAACTTCAACTACTGTATTTCTTCTTATATTTTCTTTTTTCCTTACATTTCAAAACTTTTTTCTACTCGATAATACTTCAATGCATGGGGGCATCCCATGTTGCTCAAAGCACGCAATCTCGTTTAGTTTTAGTTTTAAGTAAATCTAATTGATTAGTATGCTTAATTGAAATAACTAAACTATGCCTTCCCTGTGTGAAGACCAAGTCACCTCTTCTTTGGTGTGCAAGAGAGTTGAAATTTTGTTTTCCTAATTTATAGGCTTTGAATTCCAAAGACAATTAGGGTCTCTTCTTGTGATGGTAAAATATCTCAGGTTGTCACAATTGCACAGATTCAATTCTTCGGAACAACCATTTTTTCTTTCTTGATTTGGTCAAGATAACAGCCACTTAATGCAACAATAATATGATTTGGTCAAGATAACAGCCACTTAATGCAACAATAATAAAAGATTAGGAGCATTTTTTTATCTGCCTACTAAATTCAACTTTAGTGGTAGGAGATGGCCCTTTTAAATAAGAGAAACTGATAAAGTCTAATGCCTGCGCAGCTACTTCTATCATTTCCATATGTCACAAATTTTCTGTTCCAGTCATATTGCCCGCAAGTTGTAAGTTTTTGTGATAACTCAAATGGGAAAGATTATTGTTTGCGTGCATGTGCACATATTTGATATAGCACACAATGTGTGTGCATGTAAACTGTAAAGTACGAGCTCTTGAACACAAATGCTGCAACGCTCCTTAATGCAGTAAATTTACAATGAACTCCGGAGTAAGTAGGCATGATGAACCTGCTCATCACATGCATATGGACACAAGTGCCATAAAAAAGATGTGCCTCAAAGATTGCATAAGAGAAGTGGGGAAAAAAATTACCAGCATCAACATTGTCCATCACATCTTTCATAGGGCCACCAACTGTTCCATGATATAGCTTCCCAAGATTTGAAAGAACCACATAAAAGTTTTCAGGTTTCCTTGTCCACTGCATATCCTTGATAGAGCTGGATTCATTGAGCGAACAAGAGAAAGATGGTTTTAGACCCTGCATAATGACAGAAGAAAACAAACAAGGAATAAACAAAAACTGTATTTTGCAGTAAAGCAAATGTTCTAGAAATGGTAAAAGTCCCCATGGGTTAGGTGAAACAAACAGAAGATGCAACATTGAGGGGTTCATTAGAAATACACTTGCAGGTGGAAAACTCTAAGGGAGTTCATCTCTATAACAAGGACGATCAGAGGCATGAAGTGTTAAACAGCCATGCACTCTTTCCTACAATTCAAATTACGCATGCCCAAATTGAAGTAAATGGTGATGCTAAATGATGGAGAAAAGGCAACAGAGTTTATAGAGCTGAGATAAAATGTCACAATCCACCGAGACAAACCAATAACACAATACAGGTAAACAGAGAATAATGAAGTGAAAGCAAGCAAACGCACCTTATCGAGAAGGGAATCAACAGAGAAGAAGTGAATGTTCGCATCAGCAGTAGCGGCAAGAGTAGAACTATCGGTAGAGAGTTCGAGAATGTTGAGTTTGGGAAGGGGAACATCCACAACACTTAGCTCCTGTATAGAAGAAGAGCTTCCCCTTTCCTTAATCTCAGCAGCTGAAGCCATAACATCTTTGGTCCTCGCAACGCAAAACCCTAAGAAACAACAACAGCATCAAAATTTGTTTGTTTGTTTGGTGCAAATCAGAAAGCAATCAATTCGATGTTAGAAACCGAGAAGCTGACCAGAGGAATGAGCAACAAACACGAGGCCGTGTTTCTCGGAGACGGCGAGGGGCCGGGAGGGACTGCCTTGGGGATCGAAACAGGATTCATCATGCTGAATTGGGACGGGTTCGCCGATCCTTTCGAAAATGTAGTCGTTCGACTCCACACGCTCTCCTTCAATTTCTTCTTCTACTTTAATCATTTTCGCATCATCAGACATTTTTTTTCCCTTCTTCTTTGTCGAAACCCTGAGTTTGGGCGGGAACACTGACTGACCGACCGACTCACCTCTGCCCTAGACGGCTACACCACTCGCCACGGCACCAATATCGCTTTTCTTTTTGTCCTTTTGGTCGTGTATAATCAAGGGAGCTGATTTCTTCACTCACACTCCCTTTTGCTTTTTAATACTTTTTAATTAATTTTGTTCTTTTTCTTTCCTATTATATTCTTACCCTACATTAATTTCTTTTTTACTTTATTTTTATATTATATCTTTTTCTTTATACTTAATTTTCTAACATACACTCCATTTTTAGTATTAAAGAGAAAAAAAAAAACCTAATTTCTTACTCGAAAAAAAAAATACTTAAAATGAAGTGCAAGTTGGAAAATTAAATTAGATTATTATAAATAAACCCAATCTTAGACATGTATTTATAAAAAAACCCACACACTATTTAAACATAGAAATACACCCAAAATCAACAATTGCATATTTTTTGGGTGTGTTTATAAATGGGTTTTGAGTGTGTGTAATGATGAGTTTTGGGTGTGTTTATAAAGTGTTTTGGGTGTTGGGTTTTTTTATAATTTCAGCCACCATTTTGGGTGTTTTAGTGAAACCCCCTTAAATTAAATATAAAGAAAAAGAACTAATATAAAAATGAAGTAAAAAGAAAATAATGTAAAGTCAGAGCAGAATAGGAAAGATAAAGAACAAAATTGATTAAAAAATATTAAAAAACAAAAGGGAGTGTAAGTGGAGAAAATGGGAGTGGGGAAATCATATCCCATAATTAATGAGTAACGCAATAATAACTTTGTACTGATCATCAACTGCTTCGACAAAAAAAAAACTAATCATCAATTCCTTTCTACTTGATTTTTCACTGGTCTCTTCTATTCATTTAAATTTGAAACCCAAAATGATGACTACACCCGCTCTTATTTCTTTTCACAAATTCCCACATGGTTGCTACAATCACCAAATTTATCAGTGAAAGCAATGGATTTGTAACTTAAAAAGTGGTTAAATACAATTACATTTGCACTCAAAACTTTGTATTCAAACCTCTTTACCTATCATCACCTTGTATCCAAAACATCTACTTAAATATGTGCCCAATTTTGAACATCGTTTATTTTAACAAGCAATAATTTTACAAGTGTACAAGCATTTTTATTATTTATACCAAACTTTTGTTTTCAAACTTAAGAAGGGGAAGTGAGGTTTTTTCTTTTTCTTTTTTCTTTTTTTCATGGGCAATAATGAGGTTGTGAAATGAAGTTGTGTTGGTTCTAAAATAATAATTAATGTCAATATATCCATGTGTTAGGATTATTTTTGTAGAAAACTCTTCTCAAAATGTGATTTTTCTATGCGTGCTTATGCTAGAAGAACCTCAAATCTTTTAATAAAATCAAAGTACTTCATGGAGAAACATATGTTAGGAGCTTTGCATAAAGCGCTTTTTTGACTCCGCAAGTGTAAGGGCTCGTTTGGGGACTGCTTCTTTAGGAAGCACTTCTGCACATAAGCGCTTCTAACAAAAGTGTTTTTATCATAAAGTTGTTGAAAATTTCATAAAAAAATTGAAGTGCTTCTGCAGGTGCTTCTCCAGAAAGCGATTCTATGGCCCATAAGCACTTCTAAACTTTTCTGCCAAACGCCATCAGAAGCGCTTTCGGTTGTCTGAAAGCACTTTTAGCCCTTCCAAAAGCACTCCCAAACGAGCCCTAAGTTTTTCAAACCAAATACTTTTAGAAGAGTTTTTAGTTATCAAAAAATAATTTTAGCCTTTCTAAAAACAATCCCAAACAAACCCTTAATTCGTCAATGTTGAATCGCTTTTATTAGATAATATCATTAAATCTAGAAAGAAAAAAAAAACTTACAATATAAATATATACATGTGACATGGAGAATTGTCATATTGCACTTCTTCTTAAAAGAACACAAAGTGAGAAGGAGTGTGGAATGGCCTTTTAGAAATGAGAATTGCAACTTTACTTTATAAGAACACTTAATCACATAGTAACAAAGCTCGTGGGCAAGCTTTTCATTTCTCAACAAATTTGATTATGAATATGAAGATGGTACGTAACTATTGAATATGAAATACAGTGCCACTAATAAGAAGTCCAAGAGCAATAAGTCACTCATCAGACGATTGATAAAAATAAACAAAGGAGGGTCATTTTAAAAAGGGGAGGCCTACCAATCATGATATATACTTGATTGCGAAACTACTTTTTCTTTTTCTTTTTTAATGGAGGAACTACTTTGATAATGCCTATAGAATCAATAATGTGAAGTGATGGGGAAAAAATTAGGGAAACACAAGAAGAATGGATCATGGCATTTGGCATTTGGAATTTAATTGGGTTAGGTGTGGAGGGACGCGGGGTTTGGGTTAATTAGGAGTTAGATAGTTGTAGGATGAAGTGTAGGTGTTGTTAAATTTTAGAGAGACGGGATAGCGGTCCACTACTATCAACACTGATATTGTCATCAACTTAACTATCTATAAAGCCCAATAGGTGTGGGGTTTTATCACAAAATGCCTCGGTAATATTAGTAGTGGAACCATTCATTATATCTTGTATTTTATTTAGTCAAGTTTCCGATGTGAGACTTATATTTTTCAACACGCCCCCTCACATGGGACCACCACATAGGGGCCACACGTGGAACCAAGTCAACATCGAAGTCAAACATTCAATCCCAACATGTGAACATCACATATTGGATAAGGGGTAGGGATAAACATTCAAGACCAACATGTGAACACCACATATTGGGTAAGGGTAAAGGCCCAATTCAATCCCAGTCAATCAACTCACTCTGATACTATGTTAAATTTTAGAGAGATGGGACAGCGGCCCACTACTAGCAACATCAATATTGTCCCCAACTTAACCACCTACAAAGCCTAGTAGGTGTGAAGTTTTCGGATGTGGGACTTATATTATTCAACAAGTTTAGCCGACTAGTTGGGAACTTGGGAGGAGCCACAAATATTGTGGGAGACGAGAGAGCGTCCATCGCTGGTTGTGACCTTGAAAGAAAGAAATTGAGAGTTAAGGTACGTAGGAGTTGCTTTGCCAATTTTGACCCCAGTTACGAGACATAGCCTGCTAGCTGCCGGATTTAATGGACACACCACCACCAACCATGTCACCAACTCTACCCACATTGGTTATTATAAATACTAGATTGAAGTAGGCGTGTGTTGAGGCCCAAAAAATGTCAAGGACGGTTCGTTCATATTTTTAGGCCCAATTCATTACCGTGCTATAAAAGGGACAGAAAGGCCCATCAAATATGGCTACGAAGTGCCTAAACAAGCTTTGTTATTCGCACCATGCCAAGCAAGACTAGAATTTGGCACGTGGAAAGGTCATGATATGGGTTTACCAATTTCACATGCAAACCTGTAAAGTTTAACAATGTCACATCCTCGAGCTCACCTCGCCCATTTCTTCGTCAAGAATTATCTAACACAGCCCCTAGCCACTGCAATACAACGTAGCCCAAGCATAAGCACGCAAATAACATGCCATGCCAAGCGACTCCTTTTAGTGCCAAACCACCTAACAAGCTTAAGTGGACCCAAGCCACATACATGCATTGGGCTTGCTGAGTGGGTTGTGGTGTGGATGGATATGAGGGTCCATAAGGCCCATTGGGAGTTCAAAAGATAGAGGATTTGGGTTGCTTAGAAGGACTAAAACTCAAGCCCACTTTCTTGAGCCCAACACATGGGTAAGTAAGAGAGAAATTCCAGTACCTTTTCCCTTGAAATCAAACTAGCCTTGCCAAATTCAAAATAAAACCCTTAAAATCCAGTTTACATAAATATCTAGGCTAGTGAAAGAGATAAGCCTCAACCTCTCTGTTTGACCATCACCTTTACCCATATTTACCCATATGTGCTCATGCAGGAAAAGAGAAAGGAAAGCCAAGCTAGAGCATTGCCTGGAAGGGAAGCCTCTACAATGTCTAGCTGCATGAAGGCTTTGGTGCACCAAAATGTTTTGTCTCAATAGCCATGGATTCAGCTGATTTTATGGAGATTTCACTAATTAAGGCCATATTGGAGAAAGTGAAGGGAAAGAAAGGGGAAGACTTGGCCAAATAAGAAGAAACCATCTAGGGTTTCTGGGGTAAAGATGGGTTCCAACGCCTATAAAAAGAGGCCATTGGCTACAAAGTAGGGTGGACTCAACTCAACCAAAGCGGTGGAGCAAGCTTATCCTTTAACTGCTAGAAACATCAAGTCCAAGTACCTTCCCCTCCATCTCCTTCTTCTTGATCCTAAAGAACCAACTCAGGCAGAGCGAGCAAGCCTCTCCTCTAATTGCTAGAAACATCAAGCCAAAGCACCAATTTTTTCCATCTTGTTCTCTCTCTCTCTCTCTCTCTCTGTGTGTGTGTGTGTGTGTGAGAGAAAGCCCTATTCCATATCTGAAACACCCATCCTCTCAAGCCAAGTTGAAATCATGGTCATCACCTTCTTGGTGAGAACCCCAAAGCAGGAGCAACCCCATTCTCATTACCCCAAATCTCAACCCTTAATGTTTTCCTTCTCCCATTTTTTTCTCTTAGAACACCATGCCAAGCCCTAAACATCACTCAAGAATTTCTACAAGTCACCATCCTAATATTCAAGCATCATAATTAAGTTTCTCTGTTTCAAGAAATCCTTTCAAGCTAGTGAAAGCAATTCCAGAGCTGCCAGAAGATATAGTCTAGCTACGATTCCAAGCTTTTCCCTTTCCAACTCTCTCTCTCTCTCTCTCTCTCTCTCTCTCTCTCTCTCTCTCTAGCTAAACTTATGGGCTCTTATGGGCTCTTAGCTCCCACGCCACAAGCCTCTCATGCCAAGCTTAGTTGTATCTTGATTCACCAACGCAAGCTCTCATGCCAAGCCTGTACAACATCAATGCACCATTTTCAACTCTTTTTAAAGCCGCCAGAAGCCTTTCCAAACAAGCAGTAGCTGTCGGAACACATGTTCCACTTGTTTCAAGCAAAGCCCTTTCATCGCCTGCTCAACTCTATCGTCAAGCGATGTCCTTACAACAGCTGCTATATCCTTCTCATCAAAACTTGCAATGTACTAAGGAGCCATTAAAGAAGACCTTACAACAGTT